AAACCCGATGTAGAGGTGGAGTAAGTACTGGAATAACTTTCATCAGGTGACCCAAAATCAATACCATGGTTGCTCTTTGCCTGAGGGATTTTTTAGATGACAGTTTTGCTATTAAGGTGATTAGCATGTACCACAGATGTTTGTTTGTCTGAGTGAGAGTTCCGTCAAATGGTCCATTTTCACAGCAGACATTCTCACTTGTCATATCAGGAAAAGTGTAATTAACATTGAAAAACGTCCCTTTAAAGCATCAATATGTAACTCTGACACATCCCGTTTAAAAAGTGTAATCCAAATCCAAAACATTGAAGAGAGCTTTCTCCCCCCACCCCCAGAGTTGATGGGTTGCCATAACCTGGACATAAAAGCTTCAGTGTTTAGCCACCTCTGCATCGGTCTTGAAACCTGTTCGCGTTCTTACCTCGCTCCATTTTCCAAAAGCATCTCCAATATTTCTTGGAAAAATGCTGAGGCTTTTATGGTCGGGTAGAATCACTTATATCTGAACAAATTTGCTGGCCATCACTGTAACACCTGTTGGATTGCTTTTATTAACTGGTCTCATATCTGGCAAACTAGGGGTGTCCAAAACAGCCTTGTGGGGGTGCCTTATAATCGTCTTCTTCTCTGGTAATAACAAGGAGGACATACTGGCTGTTGCATTGTTGTCAGATAAGTCAGCACTTCAACATAGCATGTTTCCTTTATGTCTGATGTTATAGTAAGGTCAGCTTATGATTTAACTCTGTAGCTATCTTATATTGCTCCCTTAACTTGTACTTTAAGATCATTGCATGAAAAAAGACATACTGTAAATCATCATGTAAGCAAGTGTAAGAGTCTGCAAGTTGCAGATTGCAGAGAGAATTTCATTGGTTGTAACACAAACCTGTAACAGTTTTGGTGTTTCATAGGAATCAACTTCTAAAATCACACATAACTTGACTAGGAGCTTATATATAATTGTGTTGGTATGTTTAAGAGCACCTATCTATTAAAAAGGGTGCTGTGAAGCTAACATTTAAAACCTTTTCCTTTTTTTTGCATTCATACTGCAAAAAATAATATACTTGATTTGGGGACTAATGAAGCTCCTTGTTGAATGCCATGACCTTTTCTGAAAATATTGAAAAAGTTTTTTTTTTAAATGCCCACATTAGTCACCTTTAAATTCTTATATTATAGTGATAGTCATGTACTTCATTTTTCTAGTCTCTGTGACTTCCATCTCGCTCCAGAAGTGTGTGTGTGTGTGTGTGTGTGTGTGTGTGTGTGTGTGTGTGTGTGTGTGTGTGTGTGTGTGTGTGTGCATGCGTGCGTGCGTGTGTGTGTGCGTGTGTGTGAGTGTGTGTGTGTGTGTGCGCGCGCGCGTGCGTGTGTGTGTGTTGCCCATAGTGTTGCCTTGTGTCACTGTGTATTAGCAACATGGAGGACTGGTGTGGGGTCAGCTCTCTCAGCGTGGTACTCACAGTGTAGCAAAGGTCAACAGCTCTGTTATCACTTGAACATGATCGGGCCTCGCAGAGGGAGAGCAGGAGAGAGGAGAGAGAGAGGGAGAGTGTTCCCCTCCCCCACACTCATTCAGACTCTTATAATTGCTCGCTTTAATTGGAGGCCTCTTAACAGCCAGCGACTGGTCCAACCAATCAATTCACACAAGGTGTGTGTGTGTATTCCTTAGAGTGTGTAGCTGCAGGGCCTTTTTCATAGCAGTGTTGATTAGGCCAGATGGGGTCAAGTGAAGGGGGAAGAGGAAGGCACACATACTGCATTAAATTGTAGCATATATTCTTTTGGCAATCAATGAGAGAAAACACTCTCGCAGGAAATAGATGGAGCAGTAGCTGGAAATGTAAAAAAATAACGAGTGATAATATCAGATCGCTAAGAAGATATCACTTGGGACACACTGCCTAATTCTTCATGTGGGAGAACTATAAAGTGCTGCAGGGATTTGCAGACAGCAATTCAGTAGTAGATCTGTCACTTTAAGAACTATCTTTCTATATTGAGTTTGCCCTTGAAAACGACCATTCATAATTCTCTGTTTCATTTCTTTTAATTTCAACTTTCTTTAATATCTAGTTTGGAAATACATCAGAAACAGGAAACATTTAGTTGGAGAAGCATATATTCTTGTGTGTGTGACAGACTTTGATAAATTCAGAGATCAATGTTTTGAATAGTACCCTGTACTGTTTGTGTCCTAATGTTTTAGTTTTTAAAGTTAATTAATTAATTTTTTAACCAGGGATGATGCACATTAAGAGTTTAACCATCAGTGTAGATAGTTCTGTAGATAGTTCCCAAGCTTTTGTCAATATCAGGTCTTCTTGCAGGTCTTTACAGATTATGTCAGAATATGCTTTAACAAGAGCAACACAGAGATGTCTGCAGTCTGAAGTGGTCATCGAAAGTTTGTGGTAGTATAGTGAGTTGTAAAAGGAAATATGTGCATGTAAAAAGGGTTAGAAGAGGAACAAGAACAATACTGTTAGTGGCGGGCCTTATGTTGCAAACAACATTTTGGACTGTGTTATAACAGGCTGTTAGCCGTGTGTGTGGCCATTCAATTCAACACATTTTCTTTTGTTGGAGCATGAAATTCAGGACATTCATCTTCATTGCAGACTTGAATGAATTAATCAAGAACAAGTTAATGTCTTTATGTAAGTATAAACATGAGATATGCTTAATGAGAACAGAAATGGTGAATTCAGACATGAATAAGCCTCCCCTGCATAACTCCTAGCCCCGGTTGGGCCACCCCAATCAAAAATCATGCCTCCCTAGACAAGCCAATGCTTGTCTCACCACCTAAATCAGTTAAAACAGTAAACCACTTCAAAATAAAATGTTAGATTTAACGATTGGATAAGTATTTTCGTTTGGTTAATAGCATTAGTATTGATAGAAGAGGATTTAATGAAGACTTTAATTGTAGTGTTTCTAAATTTCTGCACACTTCTTCCACAGCTGCTTTATTCTTTTTATATTTGAGGCAGCAAAAGAGTGTGTGAGCCAACAAACGTCTCCTTTACACAGAGATGTAGAGCGGTGGGTCAGCTGAGGTGGTCGTGTTAACGCTATGCTAGTGTTGTGAAAAGGAATAGACAGTGGGAGGTCAGCTGGGGTCACTGTGGCTGTCCTCCGCTGTGATAGGCTGTCACCCTGGGGTGAGGGGTCAGGATAATTAGGCATGCAGAATCCCAGCGTCGGTGTTCTAACGAAGCCTGAGCTCGTTAACGCACAGTTTTACACTCAGACCTGCCACTGCGCTGCGCACCGACACACACGCACACACACTCACACACTCACATGCAGAGAACATGTTTGCACGCACACACACACACTTCTGCTTTGTTCTGGTGGTCCAGTACAGGGGCTGTCATCTCTTAAGCAGAGGAGCACTAGGCTCTGCCACAGGGGATCAAAGAGTATGCGTGTGAAAAGTTAAAATTATTTAAATAACCAGTTAAGTTTCTGTAATAAGATAAATACAGAGAGTGGACACAATGAAATGAAACACAATGTTAGAGCTATGTAGTTTAATACTCACTCTCCTGTGGGGACTTTTATGAAACAGGCTTGAATTAACACAGATCCCTCTTTTTAAGTTATAAATGCATATACGACCATCAGACACATGATACATTTTTTTATTGTCTGAATGCACTGCCAGGGGGTTGGTGTCGAATAGAGTGCTATACACGTTGGAGAAACACTTTATTTTCCACAGCAGAGATTCAAAAGAGTGATACAATGAACTGAGAGAGATTTGGAGAGATGGGGAGATTATTATTTTATTTTTTTTAAACACACATCTTACACATGTTCAGGACGAATTCAACAAAGGCCGAAGAGGTATCGCTTTGTCCACAGAGGGCGCCAAAATCAACACAACCCAGAAGTTCGTCAAAGAAGCTTTAAATCTTTGTTGCATCCCATTGGTGCTTCTCAGGGGGTTTGTAGCCTGTGAAGCTACTGAATTGAATTTCAAGTGCATCCAGATGATCTGAGTGTGCTCAACGTGTAGATGTGCCTGTTTCTGTGTTGTTCTGCACAATCATAGAACAATTCAAATAGACTGAACAGTGTTGTGTACAAGCAATTCATGCAACTAAATGAGAAATAAAAGTATTGAAAAGATTCAGACAGATTGATCCACAGAGGAGAGAATATTAAGTTGCAGGCGAGATTGTGTTGCCTTTTTGGGCTGTAGCACACACAAAGATGTAACAAAAACACAAACATGTATGCAAACAGTAAAATGTGTTTGTGTGTGTGTCTGAATGATTCTGCCAAGCTGGCCAGCTGGCTTACACCAAAACACAAGCTGGATGTGTTTGTTAGCTGTTGACGGCCATCTGTGTGTTTGATTTATTCTGTAATATAGATTCATGACACATGGTCCTGTTTTAAACACCCAATGTCAAAATAGTTCCCCTTCTTTCATTATTTCACATCAGGTTTAGCCTTGAAAAACACCCCAACACTAAAGAATCTGCAGTTAAATATGTTGAAAGTGGTCTGAACCTAATCAGGCCCTTTGGTTTTTTAAACAACTCTAAAAATAGATGCAGTAGGCCTTCACATACTTTTAACTTTCGTAATCATTGAGGGTAAAGGTAAGAAGAAGCAAGAGGCTGAGGACTAGAAAGAGGATAAAACTGAAAGTCAAAAGAAAGATCCTCTCAAACTTCAGTAAACTCATGATCACATCGTTTTTTCACAAGTTATGCTGGAGTGTGCTGTTCTTGCAAGTTCATCCAGTGTTTTAATGTTGTTCATAAAGTGGTCTCAATGGTTTGATTTAAAGAAAAAAATATTCCACATTTCCACGAGGAAATTCCATCCAAGAAATCCACTTTCAAACAGTATGAAATATGAATTTCTCTGTGTATTTGGGTGTCTCTGTGTGAGAGCCTGGTCTCCACTCTTCTCGAATGTTTGACTGTTTCACCTCAAATTTTTCTTGCATGTCCTTTCTGTCTCTACAGATTCTTCCTCAAGTTTTTCCTCAAGTGCAACCAGAACTGCTTAAAAAATGCAGGAAACCCCCGAGACATGAGGAGATTCCAGGTAAATACAACGCACTTTGATTCTTATACCTTCTTTTCCTCTTGTGTTTGCATGTCCTCCACTCTGTCTACTTTTTCTATGGTCTTCTGTGGACATACTGTAACGTAACGCATATTGTAACAAGTATACACAGGAATGTGCATGTGCATGTTTCTGCGTGAGTAAATAAGTTATCATCACCTTTACAGGAAACATAAGATCCTGACCCTGACCCGTCAGAGCGTAAATATACACACAATGCAAGGGATATGAAGAGGCGCGGAAGGAGAGAGAGAGAGAGAGAGAAAAGAAAAGAAAGAAACTCCTAAAACAAGAGAAAAAAGAAAACAATATGGAAACAAAAAGAAAAGAAAAAAATGAATAATGTGGGGTTTTGAAAAAGATTTAAGGCAATGAAGTCTTTATTGTTTCCTTATCTTTTTGGCTACAACACAATCAGGAAGACACCACTTGAGTCTGAGTGGAGATACTGGATGCCAAGGAGATACTGATAGATTTATTACTAAGGCACAAGTGTGTGTGTTGGATATGTATGTGTGTATTTCTGCTGGTTTCATCTTATATTAATATGTGTGTGTGTGTGTGTGTGTGTGTGTGTGTGTGTGTGTGTGTGTGTGTGTGTGTGTGTGTGTGTGTGTGTGTGTGTGTGTGTGTGTGCGCGTGTCTGTTCGTGTGTGTGTGTGTGTGTGTGTGTGCCTGTGTGTGTGTGTGTGTGTGTGTGTGTGTGTGTGTGTGTGTGTGTGTGTGTGTGTGATTAAAGGACAGAGAGAGTCATACAGTAGCAAGTGTGTGTGACAGTATCTGTGCCTCTAATTGTGCAGCTCTATTGTAGTGGAACCAGAGAAGACAGCTCTGTTTCCCTGGGAGATAATTAAGGGCCGGACCCATCAGGAACTATTGAACGGAGGAGGATAGACACCACACACACAAACACATACGCACACGCTTACACACTGTGTGTCACAGTGACTTAGTGTGAGTGTAGTGTGATGGTAATAGCAGTGATAAGGGGTTACATTTAAAGAGCTTTTCACAGTTTCACGCTTTTAACTCTTCCTTACTGTCTAAAGAACCCCAACTTTGTAATTTATCATTTCTGCTCTCTCTCTCTCTCTCTCTCCCTCTCTCTCTCTCTCTCTTCATTTCCTTCTCTTTCTTCTTTACTTCTTTTATCTCATCACTTTCTTGTTGGTCCTCCCTACTTCCTGCTTCCCTCCAGGTGGTGGTATCGACTACGGTGAGCGTGGAGGGACATGTCCTGTCAGTCTCGGACAACATGTTCGTCCACAACAACTCTAAACATGGCCGACGGGCCCGCAGACTCGACCCTGTGGAGGGAACGCAGTCTTACCTAGAACATGGTAAAACAAGAGTGTGTATGCGCTAGTGCATGAGCGTGTGCATGTGTGAGTGTCTCTGTCTGTGTGTGTGTGTGTGTGTGTGTGTGTGTGTGTGTGTGTGTGTGTGTGTGTGCATGAATCTGTGTGAGTGTAAGCAGCATGGCCACCAGATGGTTGATGGTTTAATCCTATCAGGTGATTCCTGCCCCTCCATCTGGCTAATCCAACCCACTACACACACACACACACACACACACACACACACACACACACACACACACACACACACTGTAATGCTTGGTGTGATGTGTGTGAATCTAATGTCATTATGATTCTTCTTTGCTAACGCACCCAGACTATGAGATGTTGTTTTAATTCAGATGACTGCTGATAATCAGATACACATTGAGGAGAGCTTTGGATGTGGTGACATGGGATTAGATATCAGCTCATACACACAAAACTCAGACAATGCTCAAGTGACGTAAAGCTGACTATATCCATTCTGTGTTCAGAATAAGGAAGCTCAATGAACCTTCTGTGTGTGTTTTTATCAGTTTCATGTCATTACTTTAAAAATGATAAGCTACCCTGGTCTCATACCTGTCACAGGAAACTGTAAAAGAACAGTGCAGTCTGTCATTATATTCACGTATGACATTGCACTACAATAATTAAAAGAATGAGTAAACATCAGCACATTTTTCTCATCTTCACAGAATTATAATACTTTTTTTTAACAGCAATGAATGAATTTCCTTTCATCAGCAGCTCATCTGTGTTGCAGTGTTTTTTTTATCTGGAATATTTATTCCTGATGTTTGGGAAAGTGTTTGTTAGATAGAACAGAGGTTCATTTACAAGATTTCAAAGCATTGAACTGCAACTCTTTTTCTCTTTTCTCTTTTTTTTTTTAAAATGTGGTCACTCAGACAATGTGTCGTACCCTGTATGTCATTACTTATTCAAGTGTTTGAAAATACTCAAAAAGTAATCGAACAAGGTTTAAGATAGAAAAAAAGGAATAAAGCTTAAAATAAAACGTCTTCACTTATCTGCTCTGTTTTTCATCTCTCATGACCTCACTTTACACGGAGAATCTTCATAAATGAATAACCGATTTAAACCACGGATTCATTTAAAGTGTGTTCTGAGAAAGCTGCTAGCAAATGTTCAAGGATGAAGAGATGTGAGTTGCAAATGCAACAGGAATTAAAAAAACCTTCAAGCTAGAGTTACCTTGAGACAGAGACTGGCAATGTCTTTTTAAAGAAAAAAAAATCTGTTGCCCAAACCGTGACTGTTGAGCATAATCAATCATTTTGGAATATTTCTTGTGGCTCTGTTTCCCAACTTTAACCCTCCTTTCTCCCTTCAGGATCGGCTCCCTGCATTAAAGCCATCAGTCCCAGCGAGGGCTGGACCACAGGTGGCGCAACAGTCATCATCATAGGAGACAACTTCTTTGATGGTCTCCAAGTGATCTTTGGTACCATGTTGGTGTGGAGTGAGGTCAGTCTGCCAACAACCATCATCCTGTCTGCATGTAGTTTAAGCCCCGCCACCGTGTGTGTCTCTCCCCTCCGACCGTTGGAAGTAATTCAATATGAAAACATACTTTTCCTCCTGGTCCAGTTCTTAACTGAGTGTGTGATCAAGTGTGTGTGTGTGTGTGTGTGTGTGTGTGTGTGTGTGTGTGTGTGTGTGTGTGTGTACTCTAATGAGTCCCCACCTGCACCTTAATACTTTCCTCACCCCACTCAGCAAATTTTTAAACACACACACACACACGCACGCACGCACACACACACACACACACACACACACACACACACACACACACACACACACACACACACACACACACACACACACACACAGCTCACTATCATACTTTTTCCCAACACAACCTCTCTACTGAATGTTTATTTGTCTTCTGACTCCACTCACAGTGTGCGTTGAGCGACTGTGGCTCCCTTCCAACAACAACACTAAGTGTGTGTTTGTGTGCATTCTTGCATACATGGATGAGAGTGTGTGTTAAGAGCTGAGGGGTTTGTTTACAGTGTTGAGAGCCACACTTACACACACTAACATGTGTACAGAGTCTCAGTTCAGTTTAGTTCAGACTGACTCAGGCGTTCATTTGAATGGATTTTGGCCAACAGAATGTTTCATTTGCACTCAACCTGAGTATTGATTCTGAAGCCAGAATAAACACGTCTTTTAAAAAATTGTCAGTTGAAAGAGATTGCATTTTTGCCAAGTTCTGTTTGTTTGGAGCTGTCTCTGCTACCGACAGATTCATCCCAAAACCCGGGCCAATAATTAAAAAAGCTGTGTTTGAAATTCATTCAAAAATCACAAACAGCTCACTACAAAGATTGTTTTTCATCTGATTAAAATGTTGGGAAAAATATCATTTTTTAATCTTTTTTTAAGCATCACAAACATTTGGTCCAGTCTCTATGAAATTAAAAGACTCTATTGTTAATTTAAAACAAACAGTCTAGTAATGCAATCAAACCCAAAATAAAACTTATATAATGACATTATGTTTGTTCATTTGCAGCTACAGGATTTTAATGTATTCATATCCATATCAAAATGTATTGAGTATATCTCCTATAGCTAAAGCATGGAGGATATCTGTTTGCAGGCAAACATTTAAGTCTGTGTAAGACTAGATATTAAAGAATGCGAAAAAACATGAAATCCAGATGTAAGCAGAACTGAGTTAGAAATGCCTTTTTACCGCATGAACAAGTGTAGATGCAACATAAGTCAAACCGACTAACTCAAATGTATATTACAGTGAAACTCCAGCAAGACCGCTCTTAGCTTTTAGTAATGGTCATAACCAGATCCGGAGAAAGATTTAAAGGAACATCTAATTGGTGGTTTGCTGCAGTTGTGTTGTAACATATGTTGTAAACCAGAAGTATTTAACTGTAGTCCTCAAGAGGTGCAGGGGCCCCCATTCATTTATATTTATATTAATAAGTAACATAGTTTTAGTATCTACAGTATAATGATTGTGGTCATGGCTTTCATAACCTTTCTATAATAAAAAGGAAAGAAAAAATCACGGAGGAGGCACTCTGGGTTGTTGGATCGATTTTTTGGCAGTTTCAGGTCATTTAACATTAAAAAAAAAATACTACACAACTGGTGTAAAAAACATAACCCAGCTACATAAAATGTAAATTCAAGATTTGTACTGGCGAAGAAACAATGAAAGTTATTTCAGAGACTTTGTAGCAAATAGTTTTGTGTTTTTTCCCCTTCGTCCTCTAGCTGATCACGCCGCATGCCATCCGGGTCCAGACGCCTCCTAGACACATCCCCGGGGTCGTCGAGGTCACGCTGTCTTACAAGTCCAAACAGTTCTGCAAAGGCACACCAGGAAGGTTCATATACACAGGTATATTAACACACAGTGTCACACACACACACACACACACACACACACACATGGACACACACTTGTTCAAGTTCATGATTAAAGTTCATTCCTGTTACTTTTTCTATTTTCTTTAAGTTAAATGCATTTTTAAAAGATTTTCAAATGCTTGTTTGCATATGTTAGTGCATGTGTGTGTGTGTTGTGTGTGTGTGTGTGTGTGTGTGTGTGTGTGTGTGTGTGTGTGTGCGTGTGCGTGTGTGTTGCAGTTCACTCTTGGGCCAGACAGTGTTGAACTAATGACTGTAAATTTGTCAACATTAACGAGCCGCACTCAATACAATGTTGCCATAATCACAGGCTCATTAAAGCAGCTACAATTAAACAGTCTGCTCTTTATAGCCCTCCATACTGAAACTATTAGTGAAATCATCCAGAACACCCAGTTTACTAACACAAGATGTTGGAAAAAGAGCGAGTGATTACTGACCGGATTACTTACTGTGAATGAGGGTTTTCCTGCTAAAGGAAAGGGGTAAAGGAAATAGAAAGAGGAGGATAATGTGTGGCTGTATGAACGTATTTGCCCATTTGTTCGCACATACATGTGGACACAGATGGAGGTGATGTGATGTCTGGTATTGATCCGCTCAACATGGCTCCATCACACCATAATGATGATGTCATTCACAGAGAGAGAGACAGAGGAGAAAAACAGCAGCTGTATAAATTCTTTCAGGTTCGAGACATTTAATGACCCAATTAATAGATACGAGGATTTAAACCTGATCAATGAAGATGAGAAAACTCACTATGGATAAAGTGTCAGTTTTAATGCTCTTCATAAAAGCTTTAATATTTCCTGTTCAGATGAAAAATGTTCAACAAAGTGATGAGCTTCAGCTTGGCTCACTTCTTCTGCACAAAGGCATCTTTAATCATGTTGCATGTGTCATTCTTATTAAACTCATAAAACATTGAATTCAAGTCCTTGTGCTGTAATACAAATTTGAAAAACACCAAATCATGTTACGGAAAAATCCAAAAGTACAAAAAAAAAAAATTCAGAATATGAGCTCGAGCAGTGTGTCTGAATAGACAAAGAAAATAGCGCCCCTATGAGGAAAAATGGATGTCAAAGGACAAAGTGCATAAAAAAACATAACAATATAGAGGATACACGAAAGCAACAGTTGGATTTTAACCAGAATACAGAAAACATTGTTTGAAAATATCATAAAAGAATTTAAAAGGACTTTTATTTGCTGTTAGGTGTCATTCAAATATTTCAGATCTAGTGGTTTCTTTAAAAAAATGTACTTGGCCTGTTTGCCTCCTTCAATGCTCTTCAGTCTAAACATCTTTGGTCAGACCCTGAGGCAAGCCGGCCGGTAATTGGTCCGTCTGGTGTCTAACTGCTTCTCCTATTGGGCGAAAATGACCTCTCGTGACCTTGTGATTGGCTGATCGCTTCAACATGTGACCTAGGAAACACAATCTGTAGCTGCGGTCCCCTGACCCCGCCTCAAGGTCAACTTTTCTCTAGAAGTCACGGGTGAAAGGTTGCAGTAGTGAAAGCTGATTGGCTGTTGTGGTTTTTCAGTTCCTTAACTGTGTGGTTGCCTCTGGGTGAGAGGACCGAGCAATTAAACACACACACACACACACACACACACACACACATGCAAGTATGCATCAACACACAATGTGAGCAAACACAAAGCACTTGCAGAGAGGGCCATGTATTACACAACTTACCACACACGCTTTCAAACAGGGTTGGGAGTTAAAAGTAATTGTAAATCAGAGAGATATGAGGGAGAGATGGTGGGTAGTCTGGCAAACAGATGGTCTACCACACACATACACACTGTCTTCACATACATTCACACAATATTCACACATGTACACAAAGTGAGTATGAATGCTTCATGAGCCTGTTGGGGAAAATGAGCATTGTCAACATCACACACTAATTAAAACAAACTATGGTAAAAGTAACAATCGATACATGGACACACATAGACACACACACACATAGACAAACACACACACACACATTCAGGTAAAGAGAGCAGATTTATTGCAGCTATGAGAAAATCCATAGGTCATCTGTGTATTTAACACAGATGACCTATGGATTTGCAATTGTTATTAAAATGGCATAAATTTGCTCTCTTTTACATTCAGTGTTTTGAAAAGAGTCTGAAACGCAGGGACAAAAGTAAGAAAGGAACATGTAAAGAGAGAGAGAGAGAGAGTGGTGCACTTTTAAATTGTAAGGTACTGATCCAATCATAAGTGGATCTCACATACAGTGATACCCACATGTAGATACACACATGAACAAACAGAAAGTCGCAGACAGAAGAAGAGTTCCGCAGAAAGAGATCTCATCTCACAAGGGGAAGAATGAAGCAATAATTCAGTGGTATTGAACTGCTGGCTGGCGAGAGAATCGATCCCACCACACCTCCTCCTCCTCAATCTCCTCCTCATCTTCTTCTTCTCCTTCTACTTCAACTCTCTGTGTCATACAGCTCCCTCTCTTTTTGCCACTTCCCCCTCTCCTCTCCTTCTGTCTGCCTCCTCTCTTCACGTTTTATTGTGAAACAGGAGTGGAGGGTCTGTCCTCATGAAACTTCTATGAGTATTGATCTGCGGGCAGCTCTGGAGGCTGAGAGGAAGAGTGAGGCAGAAGGAGGAGTGATGGAGGGATGAAAGTGGCAGAAGGTGTAGTTAAGAAAGAGGGGGATGGAGGGGAAGCATGGGGGGAGGGAGGGGGGCAGAGGGGTTCTCACACAGTTGCTCCCATATGCAGCATGGCAGTACAATTACTCAAAACAAAACCTCAGTGTCACGCATAATAAGGTACGATAAGAAAATGATATATATTTGGCTCACAATTAAGACAATATCACAATACAGCGATTCTGTAAGGCGTTCATATAATGATACATATTCCATGTCTTTTTCTTCTTCTTCCATCATTCTGTTAACTTCTTCTCTGGCCAGTTAACTTATTTTCCCATTACCCATTCATTTCCTTCACCTCACTGTAAGGAGTCACGTGGTGACACAAATTGGTAGAGAAATCTGTTTAAAGGTTATGATTTTTTTTTATCATAATATCGATATTTGAAACAAGTTATTCAATCATTTCATCACATGAGACAGGATGCAAAATATATATCCATATCAATATTTTGATATATTTATAATGGACAGTATCATGATAGCATTTCTCGGGATGTTTTTTTTTTTTTTTGGGGGGGGGGAGCTTTTTGTGCCTTTAATGGAGCGATAGGACAGTGGATAGAGTTGGAAATCAGGGAGAGAGAGTGGGGAATGACATGCGGGAAAGGATACACAGGTGGGATTCGAACCCCGTCCGTCTGCTTGGAGGACTACAGCCTCCATACTTTGGCCGTGCGCACCAACCACTGCGTGACCAGCGTCCCCCGGGATCTCATCAACATCTCGGGATGTTTTAAGCTTTGAGGAAAAGAAGAAAACAAGAAGGATTAAATAAAAAAGGATGTTTCACTGAGACACTTGAGTATGAAGTTGTGATGAGCAGGTGGCAATTTAGATGTTTATGTGGTTATCAAACTTATTCCAACAATGCAACTTGTTAAAAATGTTCTCAGGTAATCCTAGATCGAAAAAAAGGCTATATAAATGCATACAGCACAGTGCTGCCTGAAGCATCATAAATCCTTGTACTAAAAAAACCTTGATCTGGTTCCCAGTGTGTTTTTCATTAATGGACCTGAGCTTGTTCATTTTTTTCAAGTCTTCTGACTCCTCAAAGTGCTCTTTACACCACAGGTCACACTTACCCATTCACACCACTTTCACACACTGATGGCAGAGGCTGTTATGTAAAGTGTCCATCAGTATTAACTGATCTCATTCATACACATTCACACGTTACCCAACACATTTTAAATCCAAACATTTTACTGCAAAATAACATCTCCATAATTCTTAAGAAATGGTCTGCAATCTGGTGACCAGTTTTTGTCTCTCTTGAGCCCAAACCTCTGGGAAACCCATCTCTAAGTGTTGAGTAGTGCTTGTATTGTATTTGTATTAGGTAAATGCACTCTGGCTTGCATTACCGATGGCTTTTACAACTGATGTGTAATCAATTGGCTGCTTTTGCTGCTCTGATTCTATTTCTGTTTCTGTGCAGTAAGAAACCACCACAGAAAATCGTTGGAAAAACCTGACCTTCTGGCGTAATAAAACACACAAACATAAACACTCACACACACAAACATGCAGTACATTGCACAACACACACATCCAGACAGACCTACTCAAACCTATGAACACACACACACACACACACACACACACACACACACACACACACACACACACACACACACACACACACACAAGCATTCAAAACACCAACCAATCAATTGTGGACACTTTAGGCTCATCCTGTTATGTTCAGTGCAGTGTGTGCGCGCGCGTGTGTGTGTGTATGTGTGTTATTAATATCTACACTTATTAATGTCTCAAGAGATGCACAAAGAGTGGATCTGACACTGGCAGTTAATTCTGACAGTTGATATCCCACTGACTGTTAGGCAGCTGTCTCTGTACTTTTGTTTTTCTCAACCAGATCTGAATTTCATTTTTCCCCTTTTTTTTGTATGGGTTAACACTCGCTCTCTTCTCTTTATATCCCCTCACCCCCCTCTGCTCTCACATATATTTTATCACCGACCCTTCTTTTCTTTCTCTGTTCCCCATGCCTACCACATTTTGGCTTAACATTACACAAGACATTATTATCATGTATAAATCTTAACTCAAGATTTGTCCAGAAAAAAAAAAAAAAGTATTCTCAAAGATGTAGAACAGTTACTCATGTCCATTTAACACATGGTATTTTTACAGCCTTTAATTTATGAAGTTATGTTGCAAACAAATTGGGTGTTTTAGGACATAACAGAAACCAGAAACTTTAGTGTGAAGCACACACACACACACACACACACACACACACACAAAGAGACTATCAAACAAAACAAAATGTAAGACATTCAGCTGCAAGTAATTTATCAGTGCTGCATTTGGAAAGTACCAAATATCACTCCAGCTGCACACTTGGACACCATACACTTCCACTAATACTCACACACATACACACTCATAGACACATGGGTTCAGTAACTGGGCTGACAACACATGTTCAGTTCAGATAAATTAACACAAGCAGAAGACACACACTTCACTTTAAAGCATCCCTGTGACTGACACAGCTTTGAGTGTTGATTGGATAAAGACTGAAGAAGAAAAATTATTGCGTTATTAAAGTGAACACTTAGCGTTCTTAAAAAAACTTTAATTATACCTGCAGTGTTACTATTACACTTGCTTCTGACAACATGAGTAACTCCATACTTGTGTGTTCTTTTTGCACTAAACCATATGCACCCCATAACAGGGTCACTGCCAACGATACCAACTGTAAAACAGCACTGTTAAAGTTTAAAACTGTTTAAAGGGTCAATTCACCCAAATTATTCCCTCATTCACCCCTTACAACATTTAGTAGGGCTGTACTTGAGTATGAATTTTTAACATGAGGCTGAGTCCTGAGATTAGACGAAGTGTTCCTCTCTACTTTGTCCATGAGAGGCACACTTTCAGGACAAAGTTTCCAGGAGGATCACTTTCACTACAGTACACCAAAAGTTACGTACTGAAAATAATTTCTGCCAATGAATTTATCATGGTCTTATCTTTCTAAAAGTTAAGGTGTACATATTGTGTATATATATTTTTTTACAATAATTCACCTACTGGATGACAAATTACCAACAGTTTCATGTCAAATGGACATCTTTACATTTAAGAGAACAGCTACCAGAGATATTATTTTTTCAAACCAAAAGAAGCTCCTCTCTAGTTTGTCAGAAGTTAGATTCTTACTGCCAGATTTTGAACTGCCGAACCTTCAGTGATTTTCCTGCCTCTCTAACCGCCGAGATTCTGTCGGCTCTCAGAGATCCCGCTGAGCCTCTTCGTTATTTTCCCAGCCAGTTTTTTATTAAAAGAAACTCTGCTCTGTAGCAGTATGGTGCTTTGGAACAAAATGTCATAAAATGTGATTTTGTCCTCTCTTTTCTCCAGTCATATCCCCCACTGTTTGGCACAGATGTTATGATTCTGTGAATGTTTATCAGGAGTGCAGGCTCAGGTTACCAACAGCATCGAAAGTGCACCGTGTATTTTTCTATCACCATTCTGAAGCCATCTTCTTTATTATAGAAAGAACCTGAAGATTTAAGACATCAACACATGGTATTATCTTTGATATTATAATCCACCTAACAATATTTGACACAAGAACATCTCTCAATGCCAAGTACTGTCTTTTAAGGGTCTTTTCTGTCTAAACAAAGGGCCTTCTGTTATAGAGTTATAGAAAAATTGCAAACTTGTTTAAATATATGGAATGGCTTTATGGATATTTCAGCAGCACACATACATGCAACATAAAGTCACCCCTGATGACCCACTACCTTCACACTATACCTTCACACTAAAGGGGTCTTTAAGTATAATATGTCTGATAAATGAAGGGAACCTCCTTTAAAACAACAGTTTCTGTTCTCCTGTGTTAATTCCACCCTTTTCTTCTTTCTTCTTCTGCTGCAGCACTAAATGAGCCAACCATCGACTATGGTTTCCAGAGGCTTCAAAAGGTCATTCCTCGACACCCCGGGGACCCCGAGAGGCTGCCAAAGGTAAGAATACAACTTACTGTACATTCACATTAATCCAATGATGATACTAAACCAGAACCTCAAAGAGCAGGGCGCTGTCTCTCCATTGAACGCACCTCAAATAAAAGAATCTAACAGCCACTAGAGATCAAATCAACAGCTTCTCAGGTACACTGAGCTACACTGAGCCACTCTGCTATCAAAGAACACGCACACAGATGCACAAATATTAAACCAAAACAAAATCATTTAATGTTTATGTTTGTTTTGTGCGAGTTATTCTTATATTTCTGAGCGGAATATCTTTCAAATCTCCTGTGGGTTGAGTTTTTTTTTTTTTACCTCTTCATGAACCCTGTGTGTGTGCTAGCTGCTTAACCTCGTTTACAGGGCGACTGTTTGAATCTCTTGTGCATCAGAGAGTCCCATCTGATTATTTGTTTATCAGCTGGAGATCAAACACACAGTTTGAAAGATCAGCAGATGTAAACAATTAACACCAGACGAATGAGCTCGGCTTTGATTCCCAACTCTGTCATCTTGATCTGTTCACACAGGGCGATCTTTCAAAGTGCGTGTGTGCTTGTGCATGTGTGTGTATGCATGTAAATGTGTGTGTGTGTGTGTGTGTGTGTGTGTGTGTGTGTGTGTGTGTGTGTGTGTGTGTGTGTGTGTGTGTGTGTGTGTGTGTGTGTGTGTTAGTGCTTGACCTGATTCAGCTTGCCTAACAGGGTGGGCAGGGTCGTGGCCTTTTTAAACAGTTACTGATTATTGGGTCCTCATCCCCACTGGAGCTGATCCAGGATTGGTTGTCTTTGGCTGTGACATCATCATAGAATGGGCGCTGGCCATGATGCAATCATACGGCAATGTCGTGAAGTCATCGTGGGCGTGATGCTGACACTCTGACTCCTGCACATGTGTTATCGATAGAAACTTTGGGAACATGTTCAGTGTATGACACAAAGTTCACACCTCAAATGTTTGTGAATTCATGCATCGTCTTGAACGAGTTTTTAATGCTTTCACATGTTCACAGCAAACTGAATTGAGTGTCTCTTACAAACACTGAGCTCCTTGTTGTTCGAATGCTGGTGTTCAACCTTTGTTAAAGTTGAAAAACAGAATGAAGGGGGTCAACTGACTGATGAGGACTCAGGTATAGCAAATCAGAGACTTTTTTCTATGCAAAAGGCTGTAGTGTGCAAGAAAGATTAAGCTCTTTTTTAAAACTTGTCAATAACAATAGCCAGGCTTTTGTTTTTTATTAAGAAGAACTTTATTTATTTAGCTGCAAAAAAAAGGTTGTTCAGGAAATCTGAAGTGCCTCATTCTAAAAGGGATTGTTGGTCCAACTTTGATGAAGGCTTATTCAAGGCAAGCAAAGAACGAACTCACTTTCAATCATCAATAATCTTTATTTGTACAGCGTCAAGTCATGCCAAACATTATCTGAAGACTCTTTACAAAAAGAGCACAAACTCTGTGTTATACTATTTGCAAACACCCAACAAGAATCCATCATGAGCACAGCACCAAGCAACATTTAGCTAAGTTACTTTGACATAAAAACACATATGTGCTGCAATCCACCCTTGGCACAGAGAATCACAGAGCATGACACACGCCTTGTTAACAAACAAAAAGAGGTACTCCCCTGTTTTTCTTGCTGGATTTCCTCTGAAAGTGAAGGAAAAAATAAAGCTTTTTCTGTTCCTGTTGTTAGATTTATTTATACAAAGGATTATTTGAACCATGTTTTGTTATTGGTCACTCCTGCATCATGAGCGCTCCGTTCCCATGCTGGAAGAGTGAAATAGAGTGAGCGTGCCAAGTGCATAACTTGTGAGCAATTTGGCTTGGCTTGTCATTACTGTTGAGTTATATCTTCACACACAACGCAATGAATCTGAACTAAACACTGAACAGAAGTTAACCATTACTGGGACCTTTTAAAAATGGTCAATTTAAATAGACTTTATTTTTAAATAATCTGATATAAATTTATATTCAATGCATTTTTGTAGTTTTGCCTTTCAGTGTAAAAACGTGAATTACTCGTACTGAATGGGTCCTTAAGTACTAGAACCAAATTTTCAAATTAAATTCTGACTGTGACTATTGTCCATCATTAAGTAGTCCTGCGTCGCAAAAACAATATTAACCCTTTACTTTTTAAACCTTTTATCTGTTAATGCATTTTTCTTGTCCCCATGGATAACTGGTCATGCCCATTATATGCCCCATGATGTCACACAAGACTAGATACTTCCAGACAGAACTACAATGAGACCATCCTAGTTGCTGGAAACGCAAGCAAAGCAGATGCATTAATCTTATGTCAGATCCAAACAACACACAAAAGAGGAGTTTTCCCTCCATGATAAGATGAATACAAGCACTGAATTATCACGAGACAGCTTTTGCTAGAAGATAATCAAGCACTATATTTCTTTATAAAGAAACATCCAGGAAAAACATAATGTAATCCAACTTTTTTTATTGCAATTGGCAACTGAGGTCAATCCTTACAGCCCCTCTCTGCTCCTGTCTGTATTATTGAAGTTCTCTGAGGTTTAGGCTGATGCAGCTACACATGTCTACAGTCATGAAGACATCCTGTACAATGATCCTCTGACCTGATGACAACAAAAATTGCTTTTCAATTAACGTGTTCTCAGTATACTCAATCCTGAGCTTTGACTCATGAACTGTGTTGTTGATGCTCTCTGTATCAGACAAGGTTCTTCTCACATGTTTGTTTCTGTCTCTGTGTGTCAGAGAGCTCCATGTGTGTGCATTGCCGGGTCATTTATCATACTGAAGCCATGTCGTCGATCGAACCATGAGATTTTATTACTACTGCCCACCAGTAGTGTGTGTGGAAGTGTGTGTGTGTGTGTGTGGAAGTGTGTGTGTGTGTGTGTGTGTGCTTGTGGAAGTGTGTGTGTGTGTGTGTGTGTGTGTGTGTGTGTGTGTGTGTGTGTGTGTGTGTGGAAGTGTGTGTGTGTGTGTGTGTGTGTGTGTGTGTGTGTGCTTGTGGAAGTGTGTGTGTGTGTGTGTGTGTGTGTGTGTGTGTGTGTGTGTGTGTGTGTGTGTGTGTGTGTGGGTGATGGTTGGCGCCACATAATACTTGCCAGCTATTTGTGAGTATTGATCAGGCCTTTTATTGAAGTTATAAGACTCTGTTACAATCCCAATGATACAGACAGACAGACAGACAGACAGACAGACAGACAGACAGACAGACACACACAGACAGACAGACAGACAGACAGACAGACAGACAGACAGACAGACAGACAGACAGACAGACGGGGCAGTGGAGTGTATGAGAGGATTACTGGTTGGCAGCCGATTCAATGATTGTTCAGTGAACATTGATGTGATTTTGTGCGACACACACACAAACACACACACACACACACACACACACACACACACACACACACACACACACACACATACTATAGTGTTCAGCTGCCAGTTTATTTCAACATGATTCCTTCAGCATCCATCCATATGTGCACATACATTAAATATACAGAGACACATATGCACAGCCTGTAATCATGCTGTATGTTTTGCTATTCAGATCTATGAGGGAACTTCACGTTGTGGCATACAACCACAAGTTATAACAATTCTGCAACAAATATTCATTGTGTGTTGTGTGTAAGAACCTTGAAATTAATTATTATTTATTCTTCAACAAACTAAAGTGTAAGGACTAGATTCTGATCTGCGTGTAATCATTTGAGTGGGCAAACAGCCGACTCAAGTAGAGTAAGAGTAAGGAGCAGAAATGACTCTTTAAATGAACAAAGAAATCAATGGCCTCTACTGGCTTGTTCTCCCTCCTCACTGCAGAAGAAAAAAAGGGTAAAAACCCATGCAGCTCTAAAAGACAACAAGCGTCCTCTCAAGTTTTGAGTTATTTTCATAAATCTAATAAAAGAAAAGGTGAAGCACGTGACACTGTTGCATGACAAGTTCACCTGTATGCATGTTTCTACTCACCTGTGTAATGTGAATTTTCAACTTGCAGATCAAACTACTTCGGTTAAAACATTTTAGTTTCAGAGAGGAATCACGAGAAACAGTTTGCCACTGGCTGAGGTTGGCAAATACAGAGCAGTGCACTGGCGAGACTAAACCGTCACTCACAGAGACATCAGATTTGTCTGGAGCAAAGAAGAGACTTCAACATTTCCAAAATTAATATATGTATCGTGTTTTCACAGTTTTCCATGTTGACTGCAGCTTGTTTGATTCTGTATTTCTTTGCCACATCTTCTTCTGCAATTGTTTATCAACACTAGCTTGGAGAATTACTTTGTCGAAGTGATTCAGTCATCAACCTCATATTTAGTAGATTATTTGATGATTTGAATTGCCATTGTATTGCAGATTTTTGGAAATAAAAAAAAGGAGACTTTTATACCATGTTACATTTTCAAGTTAAACTAGACTTGTGATTACTAAAACAGAGAAACACAACAGTACATGGAACAATGTAAGTTACTCAGTTATACTTTATTTTATAATATTTGATTAAAAAAAACAAGTGTGTATCAATTTCAACATCTAAGATTCAGTGCAGAGTTGCCTGTTTCTCATTGTTGGTCGTTCAAATCGGAAAAGTTAACCAGTGTTTGTCATCCGTGTTAGACGGGTAACTTCCTCTGGTGACTCACTCAGCTGACATCTCTCTGTGGCTCATTTTGATGATGTCATAAATCACACTGAGGTCATGTCATCAGCATCACCACCATGAGTAATCCTGGTGATGTAGGAACACGCAGACAGGAAACTATGAAACTCTCCCTCTGAAAGAGTTGAAATCTGAAACTGCACACCCTAATGACACTATCTCACATCATATTAGTCAGAGAAGATGTTCTACAGAGCACGTGTGTGTGTGAGTGTGTGTGTGCATGTCAATACTTGTATGTGTGTTTGAGATAGTACCCCAAATCCCTCTGAGCCTACAAGTAAAGTATGACATCATCTACGTGCAAGGTGTGACCCTGCATGTATGGCATCCTTAATGGGACATTAGAGGCGGGTCAAGCAGCTAATGTAACAGCATTAGGGAGGAATAAGTCATGTGTGTGTCATGCACATCAGACACACACACACACACACACACACACACACACACACATCTGACCTCTCAAATCCTCAGCTCAGCATTTCCTGGTCCTAATGCACACAACCTGCGTGTGTTTGTACTTGAGTGTGCGTGTGTGTGTGTGTGTTTGTGTGTGTTTGTGTGTGTGTGTGTGTGTGCGCGTGTGATGTATGGTTATCACATTAAGGCTGGTCATAACTCACACAGTGAAAGCACAGAGACACACCTCCTGTGATTGTTTCTCTCTGCAAGCAGATCTGTGTGTTCTCTCAACCATCTCCTGCCCCTCAGTCTGTCAGTTTGTCAGCATATTCACCTGAAACAGCGAGAATAGATCGCAGTCATTCAAAAAGTCTTGATGTCGAGTATGATAAACTCCATCAAGTGCTCCTGTCTTGATATTTTTAGATTGAATGGACGGACAAGCACATGTCAGCTGTAGTCTTTAAATACGACAGCTAAGCAAAGTAAATAACATGAATCAAGGTAAGAGATTAAAGCTTCTGAATCATGCCTTTTGGTAACAATTATAGCAATCAGAGAAACAGACAGCAATCTTAAATAAAACAAAAATGTTTTCTGTCACTCTACTGTCAAAATTGATTACCTACTGTATGAAGAAGTTGATGGATAGAAACATGAAGGAGAGGGTCAGTCACATCACTGTCAAAACTCCCCCAGATCATTAAGTTAGAACTGGACCAAATTTGCCAACAGAAAAAAGTCCACTCACTTTCTAAAGAAACTTCAGTCATCGGTGATGTTCCAAAAAGATAAAAGCCACCAAAACATCAAGTCATTGGAGATGAAGCTGAGCTCACTTTGTCACTTTCCTCTGTGGCTGAAACAAATGTCCGGACATGCACATTACAGACTGTAAATGTTGCAGCATAGCCACATCAACGTCTGTGAGTGTGAAAATGACAGAGTGCATTTCTTTGGGTTTTGTTTATGAGCACATGACTCAGCCTGCCATCTCAAATCACACAGTGTCGTTTGGTTCAGTTCTATAAAAGCAAAGTCAGCAAAGCATTTTTTACAATGCTATTGTGTCTTTAAAGGGGCTGTAGTCTCCAAATGCTGACGAGATTATAATTACATGGCTTGTTTTTGGATTTAACTACCTGGGCCTTATGGTATGCAACACACTTGATCAGCAAAACATTTGTCTTCTCATTTAAATAACTCAACAGTTTAAACTGAAACTGGACAGATAAACTTAGTTCCCAAAACTCAATGAAACAACTTACATTTTCACACTACAGTAGATGAATTTTCATTTCCGTGCATGGCATGATGATCTCATTCAGGACATTCAGGTCATCATCAGACTTTTTGATTAGTTTATGCGCATAACTGACGCCATATCAACACAAAGCAGTTAGAAGTAGGAGGTAATCTGACGAGCAATACCATATTTGCAGACAAACCCGGGGAGAGATTAATTAAGCGATATGAGTCTCTGTGTGTCTAAATATGAAAAGACATTAACAGCAAAGTATTCAGAGTGCATCGATGGCAGCAGTCAGAGGATGTGAGCGATGCAGAAGCTTGCAGAGCTGATAATGATGATGTTACTAGAGGATCATCTTCCTTTCCCGTTTATCAGCCAAAGCCTTACTGGAACTGCTCGAATACTCAGGATCAGGTTTCTGTGTGAGTGTGTGTGTGTGAGCGTGTGTGTGAGCGTGTGCTGCTCAGCTCTCCAGTTTAATAATGAGAGGTTAACAGAGAGCCGGCCTGGCCATAATAATGTGCAAAAGATTGAATTTAGCACCATGGAGAGGCACACTAAAACTGCTGACTGGCACTGTGACCTCTCATATCCTCTCTCTCTCTTTCTCTCACATGTACACACCATACGCACACACACGCACACACACGCACACACACACACACACACACAGAGACACATGCACACAGATATAGAGGCACTATGTTACAAAAAGCACAAACTCACAGGAGCACACACTCGAAAGCCAACTATACTGTTATTGCGTGTATGTTTGAGTGTCACACAGTGCAGGTTAATGCTGTGAAGCACAGAGTAATTTTCTCTCTGTCACCGGGCGGCCTCACGCTGTGGAAACGACAACACATTAACTGTTAAACAAGACACCTTAGACCCCAGGGCGGGAGTTGAGAGAGGAAGAGTGTTGGTGGATGAGAAGGGGGGGGAAGAAACAATAAAGAGAGAGAGAAAAAGAGAGAATTGTTGAGAGTTTAGTGGGTGGGGAAAATAGAGAGGATAATTCCCTGTGTGGAGGAAATGTGGGACGAATTACTGGGTTGAGAAAAAGGTGCAAATAGAAGAAGAAAGAGGATGAGGAGGAGGACATCTAATCATCAAAGTCAGCCTAAATTGATAATAGCAGCTTCCATCACAGGGGGAAGAGAATGAGAATAAAAACAAGTGGGCCTTGAGGTGAATCCAGTCTTTTATGAGTATATGTGGTGTTTGGAGAATGTTAAATCATAAAAATGATAATAAAATCAATATGGCCAGGAGAAATCTAAGACTTTGCCCTTTGCAGTATCGCCTGTCCCTGACTGCCACTCACTCACTGATTTCAAATGTCATGCTGAGCAGAAGAGCCTACAGAGCGCTTGAGATTTACTACATTTTAAATACCTGTCACTTGAAGGTGTCATTATCTACAGACAAAAAAATATGCATAAAAGCACTTGACTTGACAGCAGATAATCTGCCTTTAAAAGGAATGAAGAGCAATTTGTTTATCATGAAAAGAGGGTGAAGTCGATGTTTGTGATAGTATGTGTAGGGAGGGGGAGAGACATTTTTTTTTTTTAAATACCTTTTATGTGTATAAATATGCATCTACAAATGCATCTTCAAGCTTTCGGGTGAGGTTTGATTTTGTTCAGACTTGTGATCGCTTTGAAGAGATGTGTCAAAAAAATGCTACAAGACTTGTGTTTACTGTGTAACTGAGCCACATTCTACCTTCTTTATTTCTCTCTCACGCTCTCAGGAGGTTATTTTGAAAAGAGCAGCTGATCTGGTAGAAGCCCTCTACGGTTTGCCCCATAATAACCAAGTAAGAAAACACACATATACAAACATACAAACATCAGTAAGGAGTCAAAGTGTTATTTTGTTACATTTATGGCGTAACTCTTTGTGTCCCTGTAGGAGATCATCCTAAAGCGTGCGGCGGACATCGCAGAAGCTCTCTACAGCGTTCCACGTGGGCATACCCAGCTCTCAGGCTCAACCCACGGTGGAATGATGGGAGTCAATTCCTTTACCGGACAGCTGTCTGTCAATGTCTCCGAACCCACACAGGCTAATCAGGGTGAGAGTCTTTATAATTGTCATATTGAAGCGTTTATTCATTTTAGTATGTCTCACATACATCACCAGAGAATGGCATTATTGTTTTCTTGAAGAGGGTTTTGCTATCTTTGTCCCCTTTTCTTTTTTTTTTTTGCGTTTGTTGCAACGTATGTATGTATGAAGCAGGTTGCTGTTATCCATGGTTGTGACATAGTGTATGCAGTAAAGTCATCATTAGTGCAGCCTTTATGAGTTCTTGTTACATGAAATGGAGATAAGTTTATGGAGTTAACAGGTGTACATGCTTACATACTTCTCTCAGACTACTTTCAGAAGTTGGGATTATTCCAAAATGACTGTAGAAGTGAACCCATATAAAATGGAAATGTATAGACATGAACTATAAATTAACCATAAATGCCTCTACTGCTCTTTTGTTAAACTGTGAACATATAATTGCTGTCAAGGTTCACAAGAAATATAGAGAAATTCCTGACCTTTTCACATTAATTTCAACCTTAATCTACACACCATAAAGCGCAACTGGGTAATCATCACATCCTCCTCTTTCTCTCCTTCCATCGCACTTCCTGCAGGTTTTGTGCGCAGCAGCAGTAGTGTGTCTCCTCACGGTTACGTGCCCAGCTCCACACCTCAACAGACCGGTTACACCTCAGTCACCAGCACCATGAATGGCTACGCCAACAACACCGGAATGACCAACCTGGGAGGCTCGCCCACTTTCCTCAATGGCTCTGCAGCCAACTCGCCTTATGCCAGTGAGTGTACATTTGTGTAGAAACTATGCTGCCATTAAGCTACTTCAAAAATACAGTTAGAAAGCTACCGGTTTGATTACAGTTGTTCAACACTGCATGCATGCAAATCCTACATGTATACGTACTGTGCGTACTAATGTCTGTGGATTGAAACTGGAGGTCTTAGATTTGCAGAGTGGAGATCCCCCCATGGGGCTATCTGTCTCTCTGTGTTCAAAACCAATCACCAACTCACAGCTCCATATTGTCCTCTCTCCATCTCCTCCCTCCTTCCCTTGTGGCTTTTCATCTGACAGCCACACCTTTTTCCTCTTTGCTGGTTAATTGCCTTCCATTTAGCAAAAAGCAAGGAAGAAAGAGGGATACAGAGAGATGATATTTTTTTGTTTGACGATCACTTGTGATGATGGCTGGAAATTAATTTGTTCTTATTCCTTATTCCTTATTCTCCTCCTATAGAGCTTGACTCAATCATAAACTAAGCTTCTTGTTTGAAATAATCTGTGGGCGGCTGTGGCTCAGTTGGTAGAGTCGTCGCCTCTCAACGGAAAGGTTGAGGGTTTGATCCCCAGCTGAGCAACATGTCTGATGTGTCCTTGGGCAAGACACTTAACCCTGCATTGCTCCTGCTGCTTCGGTTGCGGTGTATGAATGGTTTAGTGTTGTACTTACTCTCTGATGTACATCGCTTTGGATAAAAGCATCTGCTAAGTGAATCGTAACATTGTAACATAATCACAAAGGTACAGTATTAAATAGGGCTGAGTCTCTCCCACCAAGCTTTGAAAATTATTTCCCAGTCTTACCCATTATGACATCAAAATGTCCCCCTTTCCAGGATTAGAATAACACAGATAATAATCAATTTAATTTATTAAGCACTTACCAAAACCAATAAGTGCGTATTGGTTTGTAAGGCACAGTAAGGGAACAGCCGTTCAGATATATTCTCAGGGGCAAGATCATGAAGTGCTTTAAAAGAAAGAAGTAAAACCTTCATATCAATTCTAAAATAACTGAGATATGTTCTTTTTTCCTAGCTTTTAAGACTCCTGCTGCTGTTTTTCACAGTTTGGAGATTACTGATTAATTTCTGATTTCTACCTGTTACTTGTTACTGCAAGTTACTGAAAATGTCTAACTAGTTATGATTACTCAAAGGTCACACCCAGACTTCTGACATATTACTTCACATTAAGAGATAGTGTACTAAGGGAGCACTGGTTATCAGGGTGCAACCTATCAGGACTAATGATTAGAATCTCAGTTTTGTCAGGGTTTAATTTGAGAAAATTAGCTGACATCAATCTTTTGGGCACAGTCGAGTGCCCTCAGCGTAGCAGTGAAACTGAATATTGTGTTTTTTTATAATGTGGCCAAGTGGGAGCATGTAGAGGGAAAATAAATGTGGTCCTGGTATCGACCCTTGAGGGACTCCACTTTCACTGGGGAATGATGGGAAGCATAATCATGGACCAAACCATGAGATCAGTCTCAAACTGAAGAACACTAAAATACACAGAGAGCGCTGTCTATAGATCCATATAAAAAATGTTAAACTACCATTTACTGTGACATATTAAAAGCTTATTTCACACTTCATTAACACAACCTTTTTAAAACATGTTACATTCCTTCTTTGTCTGACATGATGTTAATAATTCCCAATCCAACCCACCTCTCTCCTCTCTCTCTCTCTCTCTCTCTCTCTCTCTCTCTCTCTCTCTCTCTCTCTTTACTCCTGTAATTCCCATCCACCCAGTTGTCCCATCCAGTCCCACAATGGCCTCCTCCACCTCCCTCCCCTCCAACTGCTCCTCCTCCTCTGGAGTCTTCTCCTTCTCTCCGGCCAACATGGTGTCAGCGGCCGTTAAGCAGAAATCAGCCTTTGCTCCAGTGGTCAGGCCCTCCTCCTCCCCTCCACCCTCCTGTACCAGCGCCAACGGCAATGGGCTCCAAGGTAATTTACCATGAGGAAAGTCAGTCAGAGGATGAGCTCTGGTGAATTTTACACTGTTACTGTTGGTTGATACTTCTTCTTTTGTCGCTCCTCTCTTGGCCCCTGATCAAATAATAATAGTTATATTTTATTCAATAATACAATAATAGATGTAATTTATTCCAATTTATATTTGAATTGAACTGTGAATTCCAAAACAGTTTTCCTTTGGATGAAATCTTACTACAGTTTACAGAAGCAGGGAATTAACGTCACCACCCCCTCTCACCCGCTCAAGTTGATTTCTCCTCTTAAACACGATTTTATCCTGCTACATTTTCACATGAGCTCACTTAGACTTAATGCGGAAAAAAATACTACGAGGGTGGCAGTAGTAACTCCAGATAAGTTAGAGTGAAAATGTCAGCTGTTTGTGTTCACACATACAGCTCATCCCAAATTATTCATGTGTTTTCAGGAGTTTTGTGCAGGTGTGAGCAAGGCTTAAGTGTGAAAACTGCAATGTAATTCAACTTTAATATACAATTCTACAGCAAACCATAAATCTGGGCATGAATTCCAGTTGTTTGCTGTTCTTTAATCATCAGGCATTTTTTTCTGCTATGAAGATACAAATACAAATCAATAATTCCTCACTCAAACAAAAAAAACTGTATTTTAATATCAATGTTTTATTTTTGCAATACCTGTGGATACAGTTTTAACTTTTTGAAAGTCTTGCATTTTGCAAAATCTGTCACCCATCCTGACATCATCAACCAGAATAACTTTCACAGATTATAAAAAAAAACATGATTGTCAGCCTTTTGAGTTAATGGTGAGCTCTGCTTTTTATACAGCTTTACCTTTCAGATTAACATTTTTATTCATTTTCTCTGCCCTCTCTCTTTTCTCTTCTTTTGACTTCTAACCCTCCCTCCTTTGATTCCTTGCCCTTGACCCTTCTTTTGTCATTTCTTCACCTCTACCTCTCTCTCCCTCTCCTGCCTATGTCTCTGCCTCTCTCGGTCAGATCAAACATTTGTGGACTCTAGCAAGTACTCAACAGCCAGCTCTCTACAAGGCCTGGCCTTCACCTGAAGTATGTTCCTCAACTTTCCCCTCCTTTAATTCTGTTGACTGTTTGCATGTGAAACTTTAGTAAAAGTCACTATAATCTAACATCAATTGAGCAATTATTGTCAGTCATGTTTTCATCTTTTAACACACTTTTCAAGATGTTACATGTCATATGTCATGCTTTCATTTTTCCGTCTTTCTTCTGTCTCGTTATCATCTCTTTATCGTCTCCCTCCTGATCTTTTCCATCCACATCTCATCCCATAGCAGAATCTATCCATTTTGTTGCCTAGTAACCCTTCTCTATCTTCCTATTGGCTGGGAGAAAAAGGCAGGAAGTCAGATATTTATAAAGACCAGGAAAAAAGGCATTTGGCACTGAGAATTTCTTTCTCAACATCACTGGAACTATGTGTTGGCGTGTGTGTGTGTATGTGTATGTGTGTGTGAAGTGAGAGCATATGCGGGGGTGTGGGAACGCAAAGCCGAGTTTCAAAGCACAGCTGAAATAAACACACTCCACTTTTAGCTTTACACACACATACACACTGTGATCACATATTGGTAGCTTACTGGGGAATGATCTTCAGTGACAGCTTTTCAGCACTTGTGACAGTTTATACTGGCAGTATTCCTACACCTGTGTGTGTGTGTGTGTGTGTGTGTGTGTGTGCGCGCGTGTGTGTGCGTGTCTGTATGTGTGTGTGTATGTGTATGTGTGTGTTCTTTTATGTGTGTGTATACATGTGTATTTGTGAGAGAGAGAGAGAAATAGAGTACTTAAGACAAAAAAGGCATGGGGGCTTATGGCTTGTTATAAACAACACATTTTGTGGAGTTTTATCAAACTGTAGTTACAGAGAATTATTTTCTCTTTAAAGTTTTCCCTAAAAAAAATTAATCTTATTTGGGTCTGTTTTTGCAAGTGTGTGTGAATGTCTGTGTCACTTTGGGCTGTGCCTGTGTCTTACATGTTGACACCCTTCCCTTGGGTTTAATACAACACCAGACACCAATGCATGCCATGATTCAATCTGTCACACACTCTCTCACACACACACACACACACACACACACACACACACACACACACACACACACACACACACACACACACACACTCACAAACACACAAACATACTGTAAAATACTCCAACTGTTCCCAGGAATTTGATGTGTTTGTGCAAGCGTGTGTGTGTGTGTGTGTGTGTGTGTGTGTGTGTGTGTGTGTGTGTGTGTGTGTGTGTGTTTGTAGGAGAAGCATCACTGAGCCAGCCTCGATGACGTTTTTTTCTGCTCATACTTGCAGATTTATTGATCTATTGATGTTTGAAATGTCACTGCAGTCACACAGCTGCACAGATGGGAAAACATATTGATGTGTTTACGAGGAATCTTTTATGACGATGAACATATTTGGCCGTGTAATAAATAAAACATTCTCCCCCCCTTTTCTCTCCCTCCCTTTTTTTTTTCTACCCAACAGCCATCCCCGGAATGATTGTCCCACCCATGTAAAGGTGTGAGTGTGCGAGTGTGCGAGTGTATGAGTGTGTGTGTGTGTGTGTGTGTGTGTGTGTGTGTGTGTGTGTGTGTGTGTGTGTGAGTGTGTTTGGTGGAGGATTTTGGTGCGAGTCAGACTCCGGTCGGGGATGGAAGAAGCTGTCCCGATCTGAAGAAACAAACCCAACTCAGGCTCTTTCTAACACAAGAACAACTGCAAGAAAACTGACTTTTAAAACAAAGAAGAAAAAAAAAACAGACTATTTGCAAATAAATAAGTTGTTTAGACTTTGTACACCTTGATGCTTTTATAGAAGAACTGCCACGCCTACATTATGACTCTCCTCAGACACATGGAAGGTATTTATTTTGGAGAGACTCAGATCATCGGTGATTGCTGATATGTTTTTCTTTTATCTTTTAAATGTATCTCACATGGGGGGGGGGGGGGTATTCATGAAGTTTGATTGTGAATGAAGGAACATAATGTGAAGAATAACTGAGGATTAGGAAGAAACACGCTGATGATGAGGAAGCTACATGATCCATTCGGGATGAAATGGAGCCATCACGGACAAGCCAAACCAGACACGCGGTTCACCTTCTTTTATCCACGACATCATCATCACTCTTTTAGTGCAAACTTTCATCTTCCGCTGCATCTTTTCGATCGTCAGAAAAGATTAAGACGCTGAATGATGCTGCGCTTTTAACCTTCTGGAAATCCCAGTATTTGCTTTGAGCTTGCTTCAAATAATTCTGCACCGCCACACCAATGTGCCACACTTACTTGACAGAGAAAAATATCTTATAAGCCAACTCATTGCCAACAGCAGGTGCAGAGGTAAAAAAAAAAAAAAAAAAGAAACTTTTGCACCATTCAAGATTCAAGGAATAAATTAGACAAACTGCAATGCTAATTTAGGTGCAGCTCAATCACCAGAGATAAGTGGGACTGCTGGATGCCAACAGCAGCCTGACTGTTGACGATTTGAAAACTCTGCCACAGAGTCTGTCCATCAGCCCTGTTACCACAAGTGTGAACAAGCAACATTAAGGGATCTATCCATTTTGTCCAGTAGCCCCTATCTTCCTTTTGGCGGGTAGAAAAAAGCAGGAAGTCATATATTTAAAAGGCATTTGGCACCGATATTTTATTTCTCAACATCCCTGGGACTGTGTGTGTCATAAAAGCAGGGCTGCAAAGAGTGTCAGGTCATTTATATAAACTGTCCTTGAGTTAAGTTATTTTGTTATTTTACAGTGTAACTGTATAAAAGTACTCCAGTCTTCCCCACTTTGCACTTGTTTTATGAGTCTCCAAATCTTGTCTTTGCAGTGCAGGATAACAAGCCAGTCTTAATAGAAAGAGGAAAGCAACTGTTGGTTCGCTGTAAAATCCACAGCTCCTTCATCTGTGCCACGTTTTCTTTGTGTTTTTCAACCGTCTTAATTCATAATTATGATGTTTTAATCTGCCAACTCCCCTGATTGAGATTCTTAAACAGTCTTATGCCACAGTTTCTTTGTTATTTTCTTGTCTAGCACAGTCAAACAGTGTGTAAGAATGCAATGATATGTACAGTTCAATGACACAGAAAAAATCTGAAAGTAAATTGTAACTACTGTGAAGTGCTAATATAGTTTATTATCAGCAATCTTTTAGATCCTTCCTTTTTCCTCCAGCTGCCTTCATGTTAGTTAGTGCTCCATAGATATGGAAAAAACATCCTTCAGGTTATAAGTTTATACGTTTGTAAGCATCAGCAGCTGATTCAGAAAGTCTGTCAGTAAAAGCAGTTATTAATAAAACTGGGACGTATCATTAGGGACATTTTTAAAAATGTGATCCTTAAGGCTGTTCAGATTGATTCCTCATTTTTTTTTTCAAATGTCTACTGATTTGAATGTGTCACAAAATCTCTGTTTGTTTTTGTCTCAATTCATCTGTTTTTTTAAAAGCCAAACTTCCTGCTTTCTAATTTCTATCAAACTAAAAACAGCCACAGTGTTTCATTATTTCCTCATTTGAAAAATGTAAAAGAAGTAGGAGAATGTTTTTCAAAGTGCCCCGTGTTTTTTTGTATAATTTATGTACAAGTTTACTTAATGTTGCTGCATTGTGTATGTGTAGTGTTCACAAATGTGTTATGATTATTTGCTTTAGTCTTCCATTTAATGGATTTAAAGGTGGAAAATGAAGTCTGAAAGATATCAAAGTCTTTCCTCTTTCTTGATCCTTCTGCAGCCACTTTTTTTTCTGCTCCAGTCAGGGTTCCTGTCCTCCCTCTCACTTTGTTCTGATTGTGCTGTTAATACTTTTTTTTATGTTTGCCCTTCTTTTTCTATTTTCCTCACTTTTCTTTCATTTCAAAATGAGCCACCTATTTATTTGATCCCAAACTGGGTCTGGAGACCACTCTTCTGTTAGTGTCTAATTGTGAGACAGCTTGAAAGTGTGTGTCTGAGTATGTGCGATGTTTTTTTTCATCATAGTGCATATATAAATACCTGTACAGGATGGAGTACATGAAGGTTTGATTAAATGAAGTTTGATCAGAAGCACTCGTCTTTCGACAGCTGCAGATATCATGGCTTGTCTGCGCTCAGGCCAACAGTTGTGTTCGTCATTCTTTCTCACATTATGAGCAGAGTCAGTGAGCAGGTGGAGAGTACACAGGAAACTACTGTAAAGATGATAATGTGGATTTTTTTTTTACTTTGTTTTAAACTGAAGTGTAAAATAACTTTTTGACTTTCACTATATTTAATTAAAGTTCTTTCTTCTCTGTGAAAAAAGTGTCCATTTTTGGTTTGACTTGACTTGAAATTTGACTTGGGAAAAAGAGGAGGAAACACACAGCTCTGTGCATTTTACAATAAAACAAGCATAACACAGGACAAACACATCAACTAACGCATATCTAGAGCTTGGTTGCCAGCAGGGCAGCACCACTGGATGTCATGTTGCTCATCTCTGCCACTCAGAATGCTGTTTAATGCACATGAGGGGTAAAGATGAAACTTTCAGCTGTGAATTTTTTATACTTAAAATAAGATACTACAGCACAGTGCTCAGGAAAACAAGTAATATTTTATTCGTGCAGATTGATGGCATTGAAATCAGCATCTGTGCAAAACTAGTTTATAAGGCAATTTACTTGAGTTTCAGAGGGGTCCCTTGTGCATCTGTATGTGACAAATATAATGCTCTCAAAAATACAACAATGAGGGGCTTTAGTTTAACTCGGAGGTTAGAGCGTGTGCCCCATGTGCAGAGCAATTCCTTAAACACATAAATTACCATTGTGCAACTACCTGGAAACCACTGTTCATATAAAGTCTCTGACCATTTGGGAAATGGTTAGAATTATTGAGAAACAGAAAAAAATGCATTCATTTCAGTACATGGAATGAAATATGCATCGCAGGCCTTTGAAGTAAAGTAAAATATCTTATTACTTGTACTTCTCTCTTTCCCTAACTAGTGGTAGCTTCACCAATCCGTTGGCAAAAAAAGCTAAAATCAACCTTTCAAAAAGTGGAAATTGTAAAAAAGTGTGTGAACAGCAAATAGAGGGTGATCCCCCTGAAAAGCAAATCTGAAGCATTATAAAAGAACATTTGAGGTGGACAAGATGTGAAATTGTGAAATAATTTATTTGAAATATGACGTGTCACTAATTCACTTATAAAAACTTCAGCACTTCTCAGGGAAAATATTTCAGTGAGGTCAATCAGTTCCACAGTATGTCGTAAAAAGTCAGATGGAGGGGGCTGTTCTTCACTCAGCGGGTTTTTTGTTTCATAATTTAAATCTTTCATTTCTCCTCCATTCTTCTGTCACATCAAATCCAGAAGTGTTGGTGTTGAACAAGAATACCAGCCCTACCAAACATGTGGTCATACTTACTGTGCATGTGTGTGTGTGTGTGTGCATTTGTGCATGTGAATGTTTGTATGTGTGTGTGTGTTCATAAACAATACAATTCTCCAATGAGACCCGTTTCAGTAATGAGACAGATGGGCCCTGCCTAGAGTTAGCTATCGGCAACTACAGGCAGTGTGTTTATGTGTGTATGTGCGTGTGTGTGTGCATGTGTGTGTGTGCATGTGTGTGTGTGTGTGTGTGTGTGTGTGTGTGGGGGGGGGGGGGGGGGGGGCATGTGAGGTGTTATTCTCCTATTCCATAGCCTGCAGGCCTAATCAAAGAGGAGCCACAGATGTCTTATTGACACCAATTAGTTTGTGTCTAATGACGCACACACACACACACACACACACACACACACACACACACACACACACACATTCACACACACACACACTCATCCACATGTGTTTGGAGTGTAAACACATTTTTATTTCAAAGAGTGATATGAGTGTAATTTAGGATTATTTACAGCAGTGTTAGATGAGATGAGGAATGCTCTCGATTTGTTTGAGCGTCACATTCACAGTTCATAAAACACATTCTGACTCTATGGCTTCGTGCCTGTGTGTGTGTGTGTGTGTGTGCGTGTGTGTGTGTGTGTGTGTGTGTGTGTGTGTGTGATAGTACCAAGTGTGAGGAGACAGGACTGAAGACATCCATTAGCTAATGGATCTCTTCTCTCAATTTTTTTCATCTCTTTCTTCTTCTTTTATCCCTCTCATCCTCCCTCCTTCCCCACATCACACTCCGGTTGCACTTAACCCCATCAGGAAAAACAACACCCCCCCCACACACACACACACACACACACACACACACATTCCCTAATCCCCACTTTCCTCCCTCCTCTTGTCTTCCTCCAGCTTTTTTGAGAACCTTTGTCTACACCGGTTAAAACAAACGCAGGTTTGAGCTTTTGATCTGCTCAAAGAACAGTTTCAGAATCAACACTGTGACCGTAATTTGATGTTGCTAATTTACTGGGAATTTGTTCAATTATGTTTTAATGTAAGGTTGATTGATAGATTGACCAAAAAAGAAATACAGGTTTAACCTCTTTTAAAGCATGTCGAGAACTTCAGATCAGTGGCAACCGAAAAGCAAATCATCTTGCATGAGAAAAGCATTTATAAATCCTCTTTACATCCTACTTGCTGTCCCCTGCCAAACTGACTACTATAAAATTAGATATACTGCATACAGATTCTACCTTTCTGTCTTTTATTGCTGCTTTTCACTTGCAAACCTGTAACATAGCATGTGCACGTATAGTTTTGCCTATAGGTACTTGATGAGTGTTTGGTTTTACTATGTTACCCTCAAGGCCTCCGTTGACTTTACTCAAAAGTACATCTGTCTAGTCTTCAGCCCATTATCACTGCAGTTCATGATTTGTAAATAACCTAACCCTAACCCTAACCCTGGTGGACATTAGGGGTTTGCATGCATGACACTGTAATTCAATCAGGAGTGACTTAATTATGAGAGAACAATT